TGTTAATTATGCCCCCCTTCGAAGAAGAGGGTGTATATTGTTTTGCTAATGTCGGTCTGTCTGTCCTTCGGTATACCACATGGTTTCCGCTGATTATCTTGAAAACTATTTATCACAAAGTCTTCATACTTCACATAGTGATTGGTCATAACTAGTAGATGACCCCTATTGATTTTTAGGTCACTAGGTCAAAGGTCAATGTCACAGGGGCCTTAAAGGTCAAAATAGTTTCCGCTGATTATCTTGAAAAGAATCAATCACAGTGTTGTCATACTTCACATAGTGATTGGTCATAACTAGTAGATCTATGACCCCTTTTGATTTTGGGGTCACTAGATCAAAGGTCAAGGTCACAGGGGCCTTAAAGGTCAAAATGGTTTCTGCTGATTATCTTGAAAAGAATCCATCACAATGTTGTCATACTTCACATTGTGATTGGTCATAACTAATAGATGACCACTATTGATTTTGGGGTCACTAGGTCAAAAGTCAAGGTCACAGGGGCCTTAAATGTCAGAAAAGTTTCCCCTTATTATCTTGAAAAGAATCCATCACAAAGTCTTCATATTTCTAATATTGATTGGTCATAACTAGTTAGTTACCCCTATTGATTTTGTGGTCACTTGGTCAAAGGTTAAGGTCACAGGGGCCTTGAATGTCTCATTTTGAAAACTATTTATCGCAAAGTCTTCATATTTTTCTTTTTTCCATAATTGAATACTTCAATGTACCCATTTATGGCAAGTTTCTCTAACAAAATTACCAATAATGTGAGTCAAGTATGTGTCTTTTGACATTTCTTGTTTTTTTTTTAGCTCACCAGAGCCGAATGCTCAGGGTGAGCTATTAGTATCAAAGGGGGATGCTCCGGCGTCCGTCATGCGTCAACAATCGTCTTCTTCTCTGAAACTACTAGGCAGATTTACTTCAAATTTGGTCTGTAGCATCCTTGTGACATGCTCATGTCATTTCAATTGGCCCCTTTTAGGGGTCAGCAGAGCTAAAATTAGAAAAACCTTTAAACATCTTCTTCTACAGAACTAATTGATGGATGATCACCAAACTTTGTCTGTAGCATTCTTGGATAGTCTTTTATCAAGTTTGCTCATATTAATTTGATTGGCCCCTTTTAGGGGTCTCTAGGGCTAAAAATAGAAAAAACCTTTAAACATCTTCTTCTACAAATCTAATGGATGGATGATCACCAAACTTTGTCTATAGCATTCTTGGGTAGTCTTTTATCAAGTTTGCTCATATGAATTTGATTGGCCCCTTTTAGGGGCCGCTAAAGCTAAAAATAGAAAAACCTTTAACCGTCTATTTCTACAGAACTAATTGATGGATGATCACTAAACTTTGTCTGTAGCATTCTTAGGTAGTCTTTTATCAAGTGTGCTCATAATAATTTGATTGGCCCCTTTTAGGGGTCTCTAGGGCTAAAAATAGAAAAACCTTTAAACATCTTCTTCTACAGAACTAATTGATGGATGATCACCAAACTTTGTCTGTAGCATTTTTGGGTAGTGTTTTGATCAAGTTTGCTCATATTAATTTGATTGGCCCCTTTTAGGGGCCACTAAAGCTAAAAATAGAAATACCGTTAAATGTCTATATTTCTAGAGAACTAATAGATGGATGATCACCAAACTTTGTCTGTAGCATTGTTGGGTAGTCTTTTATCAAGTTTGCAAATATTATTTTGATTGGCCCCTTTAAGGGGTCTCTAGGGCTAAAAATAGAAAAACCTTTAATTATCTTCTCCTACAGAACTAATGGATGGATGATCACCAAATTTTGTTGACAGCATTCTCAGGTAGTGTTTTATCAAGTTTGCTCATATTAATTTGATTGGCCCCTTTTAGGGGACACTAAAGCTAAAAATAGAAATACCGTAAAATGTCTATTTATAGAGAACTAATTGATGGATGATCACCAAACTTTGTCCATAGCATTCTTGGGTAGTCTTTTATCAGGTTTGCTAATATTATTTTGATTGGCCCCTTTTAGGGGCCTCAAAAGCTAAAAATAGAAATACCTTTAATTGTCTATTTCTACAGAACTAATTGATGGATGATCACCAAACTTTGTCTGTAGCATTCTTGGGTAATCTTTTATCAAGTTTGCTCACATTAATTTGATGGCCCCTTTTAGGGGCCGCTAAAGCTAAAAATAGAAAAACCTTTAAACATCTCCTACTTCAGAACCAATTGATGGATGATCACCAAACTTTGTCTGTAGCATTTTTGGGTAGTGTTTTGATCAAGTTTGCTCATATTAATTTGATTGGCCCCTTTTAGGGGCCACTAAAGCTAAAAATAGAAATACCGTTAAATGTCTATATTTCTAGAGAACTAATAGATGGATGATCACCAAACTTTGTCTGTAGCATTGTTGGGTAGTCTTTTACTTTTTTTTGCAAATATTATTTTGATTGGCCCCTTTAAGGGGTCTCTAGGGCTAAAAATAGAAAAACCTTTAAACATCTTCTCCTACAGAACTAATGGATGGATGATCACCAAATTTTGTTGACAGCATTCTCAGGTAGTGTTTTATCAAGTTTGCTCATATTAATTTGATTGGCCCCTTTTAGGGGACACTAAAGCTAAAAATAGAAATACCGTAAAATGTCTATTTATAGAGAACTAATTGATGGATGATCACCAAACTTTGTCCATAGCATTCTTGGGTAGTCTTTTATCAGGTTTGCTAATATTATTTTGATTGGCCCCTTTTAGGGGCCTCAAAAGCTAAAAATAGAAATACCTATAATTGTCTATTTCTACAGAACTAATTGATGGATGATCACCAAACTTTGTCTGTAGCATTCTTGGGTAATCTTTTATCAAGTTTGCTCACATTAATTTGATGGCCCCTCTAAGGGGCCGCTAAAGCTAAAAATAGAAAAACCTTTAAACATCTCCTACTTCAGAACCAATTGATGGATGATCACCAAACTTTGTCTGTAGCATTTTTGGGTACTCTTTTATCAAGTTTGCTTATATTAATTTGATTTGCCCCTTTTAGGGGCTATTAAAGCTAAAAGTAGAAACAAACCTTTCAACATCATTTCCTACTGAAATAATTGATAGATGATCACCAAACTTTGTAGCATTCTTAGGTAGTCTTTTATCAAGTTTGCTCATATTAATTTGATTAGCCCTGTTTAAGCTAAAGCTTAAATGCCCCAGGTCATGGCATTTCTTCAAAATATTGTTTAAACATATTCTATGCTCAAGTTTAATATGAGAATATATTGACATTCCAACACTGAAAAGCAGTTGTTTCTGGTGAGCGACTCAGGGCCATCATGGCCCTCTTGTTTTAGTTCTGATGTTGTTTAATCTGTGTTTACAAGGCGTAAATTTTATTTGTACAACATCTCCAACAGCACAAATAAATCTATACTTTAAGATGCTATTTCAACCCGTTTGAGGCCTCTCGCTTCTATTGGAAAACAAGTTTGGCGATTGAAAATGTATCAAGGAAACTAACTGGTGCCTTAGTAAAAAAGGCACAGCATCATATATTAATTGTTGGGTTACATAATGGACAAATTTTAGGTTAGGTCTAAAAAGAATCTGAAAAGTGTAAATCAAAAACACAGAGAGACGAAGAATATGACCACATACGCATTCCTGTGTTTAAATATAGCTGGTTAACCAATTTTACTGCTCCGAAAAGATGATAATTTGGACAAACTTTATTATCATGTTTGCGGAATGTTACCGCCAACTCGGCTCTTTACATAGGGATATCAATTATAAGAAAGGACACTCTAATATCACATCACATGTAGTTCAAACGTGTCATGTGTGTCCAAATACGAGTTTTAGCAAAACCCCAGTAAACAACTCATTTGTTAAATAAGACCAGTGTAATAAACTTTTTTTACTGTTTATTTGGACAAGTGAACTTTAGCTGCGGACAAGTAGAAATTTTAGTCCAAAAAAATCCAGAATTCTACACCCTTGATTGAGGGATTTTGGAATAGCTTGGCACAAATGTCTACCACATCAAGACGATGTGTTGCATTCCTACCTCAAAGGTCAAGGTCAAACTTACATTTTGATGTTTCACATTATCACAGTGAGAGTTAATAGGTACACATCAAAGGACTTTATAATAACTAGGCATAAATCAATGTCTACCACATCAAGACGATGTGTCATGTCCAAGAATTATGTCCCTACCTCAAAGGTCAAGGACACACTAACCATTTTGAAGTTTCACATTATCACAATTAGAGTTAATAGGTACACATTGGTGTCCGGGCTGTAACTTTGTCATGCATCAAAGGATATTAAAATAACTTGGCACAAATGTGTACTATATCAAAACGATGTGTCTTGGCTAAAGTCTGTGCGTCCTCACTTTCAGAACAATCATGTTTAGACTGTAACTTTGTCCTGCATGGAGGGATTTTGAAATAACTATGCACAAAAGTCTATCACATGACAATGTTGTGTGGCATCCAAGAACCACATCCCTTTTCAAAGGTCAAGGTCACACTTAAATTTTGAAGGTTCACAATTATCATAATTAGAGATTATAGGTACAGTCACATTCGTGAGTATAACTTTGTCATGCATCAAAAGATTTTAGAATAACTTGGCATGTGTTGTGTTTAAAACCCATGTCCCTACTTCCAAGGTCAAGGTCACTCTAATAGATTGAAGGTATTTATGCTCATAAGAAGAGTTTGAAGGTACACATTAGTTTCCAAACTGTAACATTGTCATGCATTGAAGAATTATAAAATAACTTGCATAAATGTCTACCACGTCAAGATGATGTGTAGCATCCAAGACCCTTGTCCCAAGGTGTTAAGTTTGCTATAAAAAGCATTTCATTCCACAAGAACAGTAATTTGTTCTACAGGATAAAATATAAAAATTACTATGTAAATATGTCCACTGACCTTTAATCATAATTATTTGCGTTACTTTTCACATGTATATAAAACATTTGAAAATTTCAAAATGTGATCTTGTTCATTTCAGGGGTCACGTGTGTTTGATATTAAATGTAGCATCTAGATGAGGAATGACTGCGAAGAACTACACTCAGCTTGCAAAGTTGCACGTCAAATATGCTGAGTCAAAGGGTCTTCGCATTCTCCTCTTTCCTTGTAACCAGTTTGGTGGCCAGGTAATTATTTTTAACATTGTACACTGTGGGAGAATTATAAGTTTTAACCCATAATCTTCTGAATTGCCTGGAAGAATATGTCCAAACTTTTATTTCAAATCGTAAAAATGAATTAACAGGAATATATCTACAAAATTCGGAAGTTTTGTCAGCTAACAGTGGAGTATAGTCCCTAATCAGACTGTACCTATGTGTCCTGTTTTGATGTCAAAGGATTGTTAGATTAGGTGTACCACTGACATAAGCTTAGCAACACCCTAATTTTTAATGTAATATAAAGCCTGTTCCATTAGCTTAGTCAATAAACCATAGTATCTTTGGATTGTAAAGTTTTGAGTTCCAGTGTGGCACATATTTTTACTTGCCAATTTGATTGATAAGCATCATATGTCTAACACAAAATGCTAGTTATTCTGTACAGATAACAAAGAACAAGCAAAATTACAAGTTGCCCAGTCTGACCAGTATAAACTACTTTCATCAGGTTTCTTTGTACATCTATATACCCCTAGGACCAGAGGTGTCCCTAAAGAAGACAAACTCATTTTTAGCTCGACTTTTTTTTTCTTTTGAAAAAAAAAGTAGAGGTATTGTTATAAGTCCTGGCGGCGTTGCCGTTGCTGTTGCCGTCCGCAAACTTGTCCGCCGCCCCGGGGATCTTTGATTGTCCTTATATGTATAAAGTAAAAACTTAAAAAATCTTCTTTTAAAAAACCCAAGGAGCTAGAGTTTAGATATTAATCATGAACTATCTTCTAGTGAGTGACTACCAAGTTTGTTCAAATAAAAGCCCTGGGGACAAAATTGGCCCCGCCCAGAGGGGGGGGGGGTCATTGTTTTTCCCTATATGTGTATAGTAAAAACTTAAAAAATCTTCTTACAGCTAGAGCTTAGATATTTATCATGAAACATCTTCAAATGGGTGTCTACCAAGTTTGTTCAAATAAAAGCCCCTGGGTTAAAATTGGCCCCGGCCCGGGGGCCTATATACAGGTGAGCGATTTCAGGGCCATCATGGCCCTCTTGTTTAATAGATCACTCCATGAAGGGTCATATCCCAGTTCCTTTGAAACTTGCAAAAGTTATGCCCCTTTTTAAAAAGGGAGACCCTCATATCCCCTCAAATTATAGACGTATATCACTTATATAAGCTGCATTGGAAAAATCATGGAAAGAATTGTATTAGTCCCCTACCGGTTTACCGGAGGGGACTTTAGGTTTACCCTCCGTCTGTCTGTCCGTCAGTCCATCCGTCCACAAAACTGGATCCCGCGATAACTTGAAAAGTACTGAAAATATTTTTATGAAACTTGGTATATGGATAGATGGCAGTATGGAGATTATGCACATCTTTTTCTTTTCTTCTTATGTTGAAAATTCTGGTTGCTATGGCAACAAATAGGCTAAAAATATGGCAAATTTTACACATACACTGGATCCAGTGATAACGCAAAAAGTACTGGAAATATTTTTATGAAACTTGACATATGGGTAGATGGCAGTCTTGGAATTATGCACATCTTTTTCTTTTCTTCTTATGTTAAAAATTCTGGTTGCTATGGCAACAAATAGGCTGAAAATATGGCAAATTTTACACATTAACTGGATCCAGTGATAAAGCAAAAAGTACTGGAAATATTTTTATGAAACTTGACATATGGGTAGATCATAAGATGGCAGTCTTGAGATTATATGCACATCTTTTTCTTTTCTTCCTATGTTGAAAATTCTGGTTGCTATGGCAACACATAGACTGAAAATATGGCAAATTTTACACATAAACTGAATCCAGTGATAACTCAAAAAGTACTGGAAATATTTTTATGAAACTTGACATATGGGTAGATAGCAGTCTTGAGATTATGCATGTCTTATCTGTTCTTCCTATTTTGAAAAAATATCAGTTGCCTTGGCAACAAATAGGCTTAAAACATAGCAAATATAACAATATTTGTGATTAGTCAAAAAGAGCTGAAAATTTTTATTTAATTGCATCTTTAATTCAAGAGTTATCTCCTCTTTAAGAATTTTGCTTTTAAAAATGTTATATTTTGGTAACAGGGATGTTTCAAATATTAACTTTAGAGTGTCCTTCAGTCCGTCTGTCTGTTCATAAAAACAGTGATAACTCAAAAAGTACTGGACATATTTTTATGAAACTTGACCTATGGGTAGATGGCAGTCTGGAGATTATCAGGGTTCCCACGGTCAGGGAAAAGTCAGGGAAAAATGAGTTTTTTTCAAGGTCAGGGAAAAGTCAGGGAATTTTGAAATTGGTCAGGGAAATTTGAAAAATAAGCAAAAGTCAGGGAAAAGTCAGGGAATTTTGTAGAAAATAATGTTTGTCAAACAGCAAGAAGCAAAATTAGTAAAAGTTAAGGCAGTTTCTTCCATTATTTTGGGTATCTTTATTGTTATTTTTGATTTTGAGCATCTGTTTTATTTTTATATTCTGATTATGCTTCTGCCTGAAGATTTTGTCATTAACAGTAACTATCTTTTTTATCAATGTGATCCTTTGATTACTAATCCAACACATTAACCACTCTGTCATGCCAACATAATGATAGAATCAGGGAATGATTATTACATGTACATTTATCTATCTGTCAGTAGATGATAACTAAAATATATATTTATCATAGTTAAAGTTGCTTTTTATTCCACTGCAGTATCTGCGATGCGGTGGCATATAGTGATTCTCCTCTGTGTATGTTTGTGTGTGTGTGTGTGTGTTAAAGATTGTATAGTGAACTTAAAAATTCTTCTCATTATAAACCACTTGAATAATTTCAACCAAACTTGCCAGGATAAATCCTTGTGTGAGTAAAGGGCTTCCAAAGTTGTTCAAAGAATTTGATTCCATGCAGAAATCTGGTTGCCATTGCAACCAAAAGGAATAGAAATAAACTTTCTTTTCTAGGACCAAACGGCCTAGAGCATAGATATTTTGCACAAGGCATTCACAGTCTTGCACATCAATGAAAATTGACCAGACCCTATACCTCTGGTAGCTTGATTTTACATAGGACAAAAGCCCCCCCCCCCCCCCCCAAAAATAAGGTAGGGCAAAAGTCCCCCAGTCCATAGTGTTATTGAGAATCTCGAGTTTAATTCCGGAACTTGATGTATTGAGACAAGTCAAATGCAATTGTTTTAAAAGATAATTTACATTAAAACTTAAATTTAAAGGTACTAAAGTTGTAATTTGGTTTATTTTGTCCACCTTGTTATTTTTAGAAGGGGGGGGGGGCTTTTGTCCTACTTTTTTCAAGTTATTTTATAGTTTGGTCATTAGTTTAAAGCAATTTTTTGTAGAGTTACAAATCACTGAAAATCAGTGGGAAAAAACAAACAAAAAAAGCCACACAAATTCAAAATTTGAACAGTTATTATAAAAAGAGTGTGATTTAAATATTTGAGTGGAAATTTTCCAATTGAATGTTTGTGTATCTAAATACCAAGTTGAGACAAAGTCATCAAAGTGGCTATCTTATCAAAATGTATGTGGGTCAAGCATGAGATTTTTCATTTATGAGGTTTCACACAAACACTTCAGATTTGCATTAATGTGGAGTAAATGGCCATTCAAGTTTGAATACTTAATCCATTGTTCTGTAACCTGAAAGATTGTACTAGGTTCTGATTTGTTTCAATTAGGAGTTGCTTGGACAACATAAATTATCTAATGAATAAAATTGTTTAAAAGGGGTACACTCCCTAAAAAAAGTCTCACAGGCAGTGTTGTTAAAAATCTATAGCCAGTGCTAGAATTTATCTTTTTTGTGCCACCGCATCTTAGATTCACCTCTGTGTGTGTGTGTGTGTGTGTGTGTGTGTATGTGTGCGTGCGCGCCTGCGTGTGTGCATGCATGCCTGCCTACCTTTCTGTAAGACTGAAGTCTATCAGCACATACCAAATGATTTTATAGACTCACAAATTTCTTGTGACTCAATTTCTTGTTTACTTTAAACCAAGTAGTCAGTCTTACCATATGGGTTGAATGTGGCTAGTGACTAATGGTTTCTAATGGCTAGTGTGGTTCTACTCAGGTGCCTATTTTCGTGCCTGAAATAATGCACAGTTTTTGCTCCATCAGAAAAGCTGGAAAGTTACCATATGACCTTTATAAAATTAGTGTAAACAAAACTACAATAAAAATCTTGAAGGCAGGTTGAAAAAAAAAGTAGCACAACCTTTAACATTCTGCTTTAATCATGAAAGACGAAGGCTGACATTAAACCATGGCAATAGGATAAAAATAAAGTGTAATGGCTGGTTTTCTGTCCATTAATTCACCAGTTACTTAAGCGTAGGTTGTCTATGGGCTTAGCATATTTTTGTTGGTTTGATATAGGTTTAAATTTTGATCATGAAACAGTTAAATGATATTTTTAAAGGGAAGTAAAGCAGAAATGTTTGGTACAAGTTATGTTTTATGTATTAACTCCCTTGATGTCTAAAAGTATTTTTAACTTTTTTTGCAAAAAAACAGTAGATGTATCGTTACATTCTTGTTGTTGCCATTGTTGTTGCCATCTGCAAACTTTAACCTTGATTATAACTTTTTATGTTCTTGGTGTATTGACCACCTCTGTGGTCGAGGGGTTAGAGTCGATGACTTCTAATCAAGTTACCTCTCTGGCGTGGGTTCGATCCCCGGGAGATGCTTTGGTAGTTTAGCACAAAGGAAGGTAGTCTAGTACTGGTGTAACTCTCCTGGAACGATGGTGAAACTACCTGCCTATATGACTGAAATACTGTTGGGAAAAGGTGTAAAATGAAACAAACAAACAAACAGAACTGTCTTCACAATCGGAACATCCACGGCTATTAGCTATAATAACCTCATACCACGTGGTTTTAGATGTAAACAGAAACAGAGAGTGTAATCTTCAATAATGTAAAACAAATGTATATATTTGACATCCAAAGGAAACAAATTTGATTAAAAATATGTCTGACAACCATTTGTAATTCAAATATGCCCACTGTTTTA